GGGTCATGTGTGTCTCGTTGAACAGTTTTCTACCCACAGAACTAAGAATTTGGCCAGCTCGAAGCAGAACATAATGCGTCGCCCGCTTTGGAAGTTATCCACCCCACCCCTCGAACAGGCTTTTACTGATTACGGATGTAATTGGATTACTCGGAAGCGGCCGTTTTCCGGTTTGTCTAGCCTTGGGACTTCAGTAATGCAGCCAAGAAAATAAAGTTGCCGAGATATAATATAAGCCAGTTGGTAAGCAAGTCAAAACTGCCTCCAGGCCAACCTCTGGCCCTCGTCGATGTATAAGGGGCCGGATAAAGACGAGTAAACGACTTTCAGATTGCCATTATAGCCCGCTTCGAAGGTGCGCTTGTGCGGAGTAGTCGAGTGATAGTTTGAGAAACAAGCTGCAATAGCTCACTCTTACTCTGGCTTTTATGTCACTCCCACTCATTGGGCTCTGAGCCGGGTTGATGTGCAAATACCTGGCCAAGTGTAGGTTGTAACTAGGGAGTGTATAATGAGGTGTGTGGCGCGGCGGCTCCTTAGTGTGTATCAGCGGGGTCGGGTAGTGCTGTGGTGCACACGGACGGGTTCACTGTCTATGTCGGCCACAGTGCACTTGAAGATATCACGGGGCACTAAGAGCCATGACTTGGAAGTTTGTCAACTAACGGGGTAACATGGACCGCGCGATCAGCCCAGCGTATGGAGTGGCTGAGAGTCAGGCCGCAATGGCTCCTTTTTAATGCGGCTTTTATGGTACACCCATTCTTCGGGGGAGCGGTTTTCCTGTTGTGGTGCTGTCTGCTACCTCCGTTGCTCTTGACTCTGTTCTGACATTGGGTCCAGCTAGCGGAGTGGAACAGAGGGTGGAAGAGATGCAGCGCGAGTTTACTTTCAATAAAATCCAACGCATTTCACTGTCCTTGCTGTGGACTACAGGATAGACCGACGGTCGAACTGTAGTGTGGAACAGGCCCAGACTTTCCGAGCTGGACTACAAGCTGCCGCCTCAACCCCCTACTGTGTATAGATAATGGTTGTGAGTTGTGACCAGGTGGTGTATGATGGGACGTGACACGGAAGCCCGGGCTGTGATACGTAGCGCCGCGTCCACCGGGCATTCGCCGATGCACTCCCAAATTATTGGAGAGACATTATTGGTCAGGACACTCAATTTGTTCGGCTTCAAGCTTTCGATCGTGACCGTAACGTTTTCGAAAGTGCATAACCAATCATTCCATTGCTTGGAAGCGTCCGGAGCATTCGGATCCAAATCAAATCGTTCTGGTTTGAGAAATCGATCAATTTTGAGTTGTAAGATAAACCAGTTGTACCCTACAGTGTAATATAGGCGGATAGTGAACATTCATTAGGGGGCAGGGGTGCACGTTCATAAACGAGTGTGAGAGGCAGAGATGAAAGCTCGTCAACGAGGGCCAGATTAGTATTAGCATGACAGTGACACGTGCAGGTACGGACTGAGGCACAAGCCACCCATGGTCT